GCTTTTGGTTAAGACAAGAATGACAAAAGATTCGACGTTAACATTAATTTGAGATTTCAGGTTTTTAGCCAGATTTCTCCGGCATTGATCAAGAAAAGAGAAGTCACAAAAGCGAAAGATGCCCGCTGAGTGATGAGACAGGCTTTGTTAACGGCAAAGGGAAATCGTAAAAGATTTAATACGCACTTATATGGGCTGATTAAAGTATAGAAGCATTTATAATTTATCAATCGATTCTGTCGGGCCCTCGTAAAAGGAAACTGGCACAGATGTGTCCAAAGAGTATGGAAGCCCAAAATGCAAATTAACAGATGACGGAAAATGAGACACTAAGATCCTAGGAGACAATGGAATAGTCAAAGATGCCTTCCAAAAGCTAAGCAGAGTATTAAGAGGCAGAAAAAATATTGATAAAAACGAACAAAATAGCATTGAACTGTTACGTGATATCTGTCCTTCTGTGTGGCAGTGAATATTGGATAATCTCCTCAGAGATAAAGATACTTGAAGCAACAGAAATGTGGTTCTACAGAAAGATGCTGAGAATACCATGGGCCGAACATGTGAGCAACGATGGGGTTTGGGAGAAATGGAAACAAAAAAAGGAATCTTATACTTACCATTAAGAAGAGGCAGTTGAAATTTCTGGGGTATATAATGAGGAAAGAGTATGGAAGCCCAAAATGCAAATTAACAGATGACGGAAAATGAGACACTAAGATCCTAGGAGACAATGGAATAGTCAAAGATGCCTTCCAAAAGCTAAGCAGAGTATTAAGAGGCAGAAAAATATTGATAAAAAACGAACAAAATAGCATTGAACTGTTACGTGATATCTGTCCTTCTGTGTGGCAGTGAATATTGGATAATCTCCTCAGAGATAAAGATACTTGAAGCAACAGAAATGTGGTTCTACAGAAAGATGCTGAGAATACCATGGGCCGAACATGTGAGCAACGATGGGGTTTGGGAGAAAATGGAAACAAAAAGGAATCTTATACTTACCATTAAGAAGAGGCAGTTGAAATTTCTGGGGTATATAATGAGGAAAGAGTATGGAAGCCCAAAATGCAAATTAACAGATGACGGAAAATGAGACACTAAGATCCTAGGAGACAATGGAATAGTCAAAGATGCCTTCCAAAAGCTAAGCAAAGTATTAAGAGGCAGAAAAATATTGATAAAAACGAACAAAATAGCATTGAACTGTTACGTGATATCTGTCCTTCTGTGTGGCAGTGAATATTGGATAATCTCCTCAGAGATAAAGATACTTGAAGCAACAGAAATGTGGTTCTACAGAAAGATGCTGAGAATACCATGGGCCGAACATGTGAGCAACGATGGGGTTTGGGAGAAAATGGAAACAAAAAGGAATCTTATACTTACCATTAAGAAGAGGCAGTTGAAATTTCTGGGGTATATAATGAGGAAAGAGTATGGAAGCCCAAAATGCAAATTAACAGATGACAGAAAATGAGACACTAAGATCCTAGGAGACAATGGAATAGTCAAAGATGCCTTCCAAAAGCTAAGCAGAGTATTAAGAGGCAGAAAAATATTGATAAAAAACGAACAAAATAGCATTGAACTGTTACGTGATATCTGTCCTTCTGTGTGGCAGTGAATATTGGATAATCTCCTCAGAGATAAAGATACTTGAAGCAACAGAAATGTGGTTCTACAGAAAGATGCTGAGAATACCATGGGCCGAACATGTGAGCAACGATGGGGTTTGGGAGAAAATGGAAACAAAAAGGAATCTTATACTTACCATTAAGAAGAGGCAGTTGAAATTTCTGGGGTATATAATGAGGAAAGAGTATGGAAGCCCAAAATGCAAATTAACAGATGACAGAAAATGAGACACTAAGATCCTAGGAGACAATGGAATAGTCAAAGATGCCTTCCAAAAGCTAAGCAGAGTATTAAGAGGCAGAAAAATATTGATAAAAAACGAACAAAAGAGTACTGAAATGTTACGTGATATCTGTCCTTCTGTGTGGCAGTGAATATTGGATAATCTCCTCAGAGATAAAGATACTTGAAGCAACAGAAATGTGGTTCTACAGAAAGATGCTGAGAATACCATGGGCCGAACATGTGAGCAACGATGGGGTTTGGGAGAAAATGGAAACAAAAAGGAATCTTATACTTACCATTAAGAAGAGGCAGTTGAAATTTCTGGGGTATATAATGAGGAAAGAGTATGGAAGCCCAAAATGCAAATTAACAGATGACGGAAAATGAGACACTAAGATCCTAGGAGACAATGGAATAGTCAAAGATGCCTTCCAAAAGCTAAGCAGAGTATTAAGAGGCAGAAAAATATTGATAAAAAACGAACAAAAGAGTACTGAAATGTTACGTGATATCTGTCCTTCTGTGTGGCAGTGAATATTGGATAATCTCCTCAGAGATAAAGATACTTGAAGCAACAGAAATGTGGTTCTACAGAAAGATGCTGAGAATACCATGGGCCGAACATGTGAGCAACGATGGGGTTTGGGAGAAAATGGAAACAAAAAGGAATCTTATACTTACCATTAAGAAGAGGCAGTTGAAATTTCTGGGGTATATAATGAGGAAAGAGTATGGAAGCCCAAATGCAAATTAACAGATGACGGAAAATGAGACACTAAGATCCTAGGAGACAATGGAATAGTCAAAGATGCCTTCCAAAAGCTAAGCAGAGTATTAAGAGGCAGAAAAATATTGATAAAAACGAACAAAAAGAGTACTGAAATGTTACGTGATATCTGTCCTTCTGTGTGGCAGTGAATATTGGATAATCTCCTCAGAGATAAAGATACTTGAAGCAACAGAAATGTGGTTCTACAGAAAGATGCTGAGAATACCATGGGCCGAACATGTGAGCAACGATGGGGTTTGGGAGAAAATGGAAACAAAAAGGAATCTTATACTTACCATTAAGAAGAGGCAGTTGAAATTTCTGGGGTATATAATGAGGAAAGAGGGCTTGGAGAATCTGATACTCACAGGACAGATTGAGGGAAAGAAGGACAGAGGAAAACAGCACGTAATATACTTGATGAGCTTGAGAAAATAGATAGTAGAACTGGGTTTGATAGAAATAGCAAAAAGAGAAAAACATTAAGGACTACAAGAGACAGGAAGCTGTGAAGAGCCATGACTGCGTATTGATAGAATCCGACGCATAAAGAATAAAATTGTTACGAAAAATTAAGGAAAAAACTATTATAAATTTCAGCCGCCACCTCATTCAATTTCAAATGTTATAAATTTCAGCCGCCATCTCATTCAATTTCAAATGTTATAAATTTCAGCCGCCACCTCATTCAATTTCAAATGTTATAAATTTCAGCCGCCATCTCATTCAATTTCAAATGTTATAAATTTCAAATTCAATTTCAAATGTTATAAATTTCAGCCGCCATCTCATTCAATGAATGGCTAAAATTCCCTTATAAAAAAAAAAAGGCTATGCCACCATTACTATTTCTGAAGGTAATTAAAAAAATTTGAAATATGAAGAATTATTCCCTCGACATCTGGTAAATTTAAAATTCTCTATCATATTTGCGTATTTTGAAACTATTGAACAAGTATCTGTCTATATTTACACACTGTTCTTAAGGACACATGGCACAGTGGATAAAGGCGTTGGTTAGATCTAGTGACAGAGTGAGTTCAATACCTGGTTAAGGCAGTGGAGAACTTCGAGAGGGGAATTAACAGTGGATAACTGATAACTGACATCCATTAGGCATGGCACGTGGAACTAAAACAGTCTAAGCCAGCGAGCTAAATAAAGGGGTCAGTTCGACATTCCAACTACCTGAAGAAGGCCAAAACGTTCTGATAAAGATGGCAACAAAGATGAGGACAATAATCCGAATAATGTAAATAGTGTACATAATACCTCATCTCAGAAATATAGACAGATACTGAAGGGCCGAAACGTAGTAATAAATATGGCGACAAAGATGAGGACAATAGTCCGAATTATGTAAATAATGTACACAATACCACATCTCAGAAATGTAGACAGATATTGAAGAAGGCCGGAGCGTACAACGGCCGAAACGTTGTGATAAACATGGCAACAGAGATGAGGACAATTGTTCGAATAATGTAAATAGTGTACATAATACCTCATCTCAGAAATATAGACATATACTGAAGAAGGCCGGAGCGTTCAACGGCCGAAACGTTGTAACGAATATGGCGACAAAGATGAGGACAATAGTCCGAATAATGTAAATAGTATCCACTGAACGGGGTTTTGTAGAAGGGTCAGCTTTTTAACAAATCTCGAACAAAGAATTATATTTTTTACTCTTTGTCGTTCGAAGTTTGAAATTCATCAAAACTAACTTCTGCTAACTTTCCAGCACCGTGACAATGTTCAGAGCTTTAATTTCCCTAGAAGAGGTCCCTTGCTGTTCGTCATTTAGTGCACTGAACGGATAAAAGCTGTAATGAAAGTGTTCGACAGCGTTCCAGATAAATCCGGGCAATTTTCTGTGCATTCTTAACCAATCTCTCTTCTGTTTGAGTGTAATTACGTCCTGCTGAGTGGCCCGTTAAGTAGTGTAATTATTTCACGATATATTCGAACTATTATCCGTATCTTTGTTATTTCAACCCCTGCCTTCACGTCGCTGTATTCTCCCCCCTTTCTGATCTTACCATTGCCAGTATTCCATTAACTTCAAGTTAAGAGCGGGTGATCATTTCTCTCAGTCCCCGGTGGTTTGATTCTTTCTAATATCCTTACTACAGCATGCGCTACCAATTTACACAAGCTTGTTATAAAAGTTACTCGTTGCTTTCCCCTGCCCATCTTACCGTCAATATGCTTATGGATATATGAAGTTGAAACATCGGTTCTCGTTCGAACACCGCAGTTAAACTACGCCGAGACTGGACAGTAACTAGATGGGTAACCGCTTTGAAATACCAAGTGCCGTAAGTTTAAATTTGCGGTCACTAGAATAGACTAATGATAAAATCACATTGAAATACCGGTTCTCGTACAATCACCAAAGTTAAGGTACGCCCAGACTGGATAGTACCTAGATGGGTGACCGCTTTGGAATACCAGGTGCTGTAAACTTTGATTTGCGGTTGGCTAATGGTAATATCACATTTAAATAACGGTTCTCGTACGACCTCCGTAGTTAAGGTATATCGATCCAGGACAGTACCTAGATGGGTGACCGCTTTGGAATATCAGGTGACGTAAGCTTCGATTTGCGGTTGGCAGAATGGGATAATGGTAATATCACATTAAAATAACGGTTCTCGTAAGACGTCCGAAGTTAAGGTATATCGATCCAGGACAGTACCTAAATGGGTGACCGATTTGGAATACCAGGTGCCGTAAGCTTAGATTTGCGGTCGCTAGAATAGACTTATGATAAAATCACATTGAAATACCGGTTCTCGTAAGGTCACAGAAGTTAAGCTACGTCGAGCCTGGACAGTACTAGATGGGTGACCGCTTTGGAATACCAGGCGCCATAAGCTTGGAATTGCGCTTGCTAGAATATACAAATGATAAAATCACATCGAAATACCGGTTCTCGTAAGATCACAGAAGTTAAGGTACATCGATCCAGGACAGTACCTAGATGGGTGACCGCTTTGGAATACCAGATAACTTAAGCTTAGATTCGCGGTTGGCAGAATAGGTTAATGGTAATATCACATTACAATAACGGTTCTCGTATGACCTCCGAAGTTAAGGTACGTTGAACCTGGACAGTACCTAGATGGGTCACCGCTTTGGAATACCAGGTGCCGTAAGCTTGGATTTGCGGTTGGAAGAATGGGATAATGGTAATATCCCATTGAAATATCGGTTCTTCTTCGATCTCCAAAGTTAAACAATATGTAATTGATAACTGATCGGAATTGGTAATCGAAGAGCCATGTTCCAAATCCAGTTGCGTTCCTTATAAGCACTTACGAACAAATATCCTCGGGAAATAACAAATCTACTTCTTCTTTCCCAGCTATGGTTTAATTAGTAAGTCTTGTATTAGTAATACATTATGATCACGAAAAAATTATCCAATCTAAACATGATTTCTGGCTTTAAGTAACCTGCAAAGAGTTGACAAGTCGTAAAAATAATCTAAATATCTTGTGATTATTTTTTATAAGTCCGAAAAATCCACTTGCCTTTTTCAAGTGTCCTCTTCGTTTCCATTTGCTGGAAAACTTCCTCATTGTTCAAATCTTTCGTCCATGGTATTCTGAACTCTATTCAGCATAACCATATTTCCTTTACCACACTTCATTTTTCAGTTAACAATTATTTATCATTCGCAACTATAGAGGAAGATTTCTATTACGTAGCAGGTCTGCATACTTTTATAACAAAGTTATATATGAGCTTTTTGTCACAAGGATGTTTTCAATATTTAAGTGACTCTGTAATTGTATTGTACATGTAAGATATCAAGAACTATATTTGGCTATGAAGTTCCCTTTTGCATTCGTGAATATTAAACTAAATTAGTAATTATTATTCTGGGTTATTCACATGCTATAAATTAAGTCAATTATGATGAATACATATATTTAATTACATCTTGCGTTGCAATATGAAGTTATAATAAAAGACATAAGAATTTATAAAGAATAATTCTTAATGTAATTTCCCCAGACACACACTATAATTGAAGGTCTTATTGCATTTTTACCATACAAATATAACAAGAACAAAAAGAAATAAAAAAGGGTTTTTTCAATAAATGACGGTTGATGACCACATATATATATATATATATATATATATATATATATATATATACATATATATATATATATATACATATATATATATATATATATACATATATATATCTATATATATACATAAATATAGCTATACATATATATATATATATATATATTTATATATATATATACATAAATATAGCTATAATATATACATGAATATATATATTTTATATATATATATACACACACTCCAATCAAATTATTATCAAGATAACTTTTTTTCTAATATTTCAAAAAACCGTCCAATCAATTCACACAATGTTGGCAACACTGATTTGCACAATCAAAAATATTCGTATATATATATATAAAATATATATATATATATATATATATATATATATATATATATATATGTATGTATATTTGATTAGTCATTGAATGAAGTTGAAATATATACGAAAATGCGTGTAGCATTTGTTTTCAAATTCGGACAGCCGGAAGTAGGAACATCAGACGTTATAAAAAACACACGCACCGTGCCCGGCCATCAGTTATAAGCCGGACAGCTGTGAGAAGGATAGAAGTGTCTAGAGATCTCGTTCGGTGCTGTTTGCTTTACGACTTCAAAGTGGGTTTATCAGCAGCTGCATTAAGTCGCCGCATATGTCAAGCGTTTGGGGATAATGCTGTGGATGAACGTACTGCAAGGCGTTGGTTTCGAAAATTCAAGTTGGGAGATTTGATGATGAGCCTCGCACTGGACGACCACAGGTCTTGAATGACGGAGTCCATAAGGCGGCCATTGAAGTGGACAGTAGTCTAACGTGTGGTGAACTTGCAAGACAATTCAACGTTTCCGATGAAACAGTTAGACTTCACCTGCACCGCCTAGGTAAGACCTACAAACTGAGCAAGTGGGTTCTGCAAACGCTGTTGGAGGTCCACAAGGGACAACGAGTGGCAGCCTGCGTATCGCTGCTTTCTCGCCACTATACCGCATTCTTATTCAATCAAGTGCTTACCAGTGATGAAAAGCGGATTCTGTACGAAACTCACAAGCGTTCCAGACATTGGTTGTCTCCTCAGGATACTGTCCCTCACACCGCAAGACCGCCTATGCACCAACGCAAGATTATGCTTTGTGTCTGGTGGACAGGTCGTCAAGTGGTTCATTATGAACTGCTACCAAAGGGACAAACGGTCACTAGAGACCTGTACTCGCAGCAATTGAAACGTGTGCAACAGGCATTGCGCCAGAAGGATCCAACACTGGTGAATCGCAAAGGTGTGCTTTTCCTCCATGAAAATGCCAGGCCGCATGTCGCGCGAGTGGTCAGGGATACCATACAGCAACTTGGATGGGAGACTTTGTGCCATCCACCTTATTCACCTGACCTTGCGCCATCCGATTACCACCTCTTTCACTCCCTGGATGATCATCTTCATGGGAAATCCTTCACCAATGAAGCAGACTTGCGCAAAGCCCTCACGGACTTCTTTGCGTCAAAACCCCCCGAGTTCTACCGCAAGGGCATTGAACAGCTGGAGACACGTTG